CAACTTTATTTTTGTTTTTTTGCACCAGATCCCAGAGTGCCTATCTCCTGTTTTACAGGAAGAAAGGTAAAAGAGAAACAGACTTTACCAGGATTAATATAGATCAAGAAAGCAAAGAAGATGAAGACATTATAAAATGTAAAGATGACTTGCCTGAAATTGAGAATCAACTAATTGTTAAAGAGCAGATAAACGTGACTTCAAAAAGAAGTTTGATTTGTAGAAGGTTGTTCTACAGGCGCCTGAATAATGTTTTAATACCTGTTTTTGTTTTTGTCTTATTCTGGGTCTTTGTTTTTTTCATGAGGTTTTTAAGAATGAATTAAACCCTTTGCTATGTTTTTTTTCTAATTTTGTTGTTTGTGTTTTGGATTGATCTCCTTTTTTTGGTATTTCCCTTTTTTATTTGGCCAGTGCAACCTGTTGTGTTAAGGGTCACCTGTAGTTTTTACCTTTGTTTTTTGGTTTTCCTGATCTGGTTTTTCCTTAGCTGAACCATTTTCCCCTAATAAGCCACATCTGGTCCTGAAGCCACTCTTTAAGCATCCCACCAGTTAAACACTTGTTGGATTTTTCTTCTCCTTCCTGCCTGATTATAATTTTAATCTGTCTGTCATAAATTACCAGTTCCCCTTGTCCAGTTTCTCTCCATTGCATTACTCTGCTTTTATCTGTTTGTCTTTGATTCTGTAAGCTATTATTAAATCAATTCAGCCTCCACTCTAGCTTGAATACTTTGCTGCCTTTTAAGAAGAATTTTTTGTAATATCAAGTGTAATAATTCCCACAAATCTTTGAATTGATATCATGTGCATGAATGTAATTGGATATTACTTACAGCCATGATGACTGAAAAAAGAAAGAGAAACATAACAGACTTCTTTAAAAGTCAAAGTGTGAGTTACATTCAAAGAACTGTGTAACACCCCTCCTACAAAACCTTCACTGGTTCCATAGAGCAGCAGATCCACTTCAAGATCCTCCTCCGCATGATAAAGCTATCAATAACCTTGTAAAGTATATTTGTTTTATTAAAAGCATTGATAAATCAATGTATTTTTGTTATTAATTATAATTATTATCAAAAAAGGAAAAGAAATACAACCTATTAATGTGATTTTATATATCCAAGTCAAAATGTGTTTTTAATCTACATGGATTGTTGCAAATGGTCCAATTGTTCACGTCATTCATCCATATATTTTGTCAGGAGAGGGATAGCAGAGCTGCAAGACAGAATGGAGGAAAAATACAGAGAAGGTGGAGGAAACTAGAAAACATGTTCAACTTTTATATAGTAGTTACATAAAAAACAGCAGAACAGAAAAGATTCTCAGGTTTGCAGGGAAAACCAGTTTCTGCATGGATACGCAGAAGGTTTGAGANAAGAAGATGAAGACATTATAAAATGTAAAGATGACTTGCCTGATATTGAGGATCAACTAATTGTTAAAGAGCAGATAAACGTGACTTCAAAAAGAAGTTTGATTTGTAGAAGATCAAACTACAGGCACCTAAATAATGTTTTTATACCTGTTTTTGTTTTTGTCTTATTCTGGGTCTTTGTTTTTTTAATTAGGTTTTTTAGAATGAATTAAATCCTTTGTATATATATATATTTTTTTTTCTAATTCTGTTTTTTTTTGTATTTCCCTTTTTTATTTGGCCAGTGTTGTGTTCAGGGTCACCTGCAGTTTTTACCTGTTTTTTGGTCCCTTTTCTTCAGTGTTGCTGATCTGGTTTCTCCTTAGCTGAACCATTTTCCCCTAATAAGCCACATCAGGCCCTGAAGCCACTCTTTAAGCATCCCACCAGTTAAACACTTGTCAGATTAAATCCTTTGTTATGTTTTTTTTGTTATGTTTTTTTTTTTTCTAATTCTATTTTTTGGTTTTTTTGGATTGAACTCCTTTTTTTTGTATTTCCCTTTTTTATTTGGCCAGTGTTGTGTTCAG